CTTGGCAGAACATTTAGTGGGACATCTGTATCGGATATTGTTGGCACGTAGTATGCTGTAGGATAATAGTCCAAAAGAGTCATTATTTTCATAAGCGATGTCAGTATTAGGTTTATAGCGTAGATTGTACTACTCCGGTTGCTGAAGAATGTGAGAGTAATTTGACTGGTAAGGTAGAACGAGGTTGTCGTAAAGCTTCCTCTAATAAAGTACACATTATGGTTGCTAAAACTGTGGATTAAACAATTTCTCATTGCGAAAGAGGCAGCCTGCTTCACATGATTAAAATAATATAGTATATGGTTTGCCTTTCGAGAAGATTAGCAGACACGTTGAGAGTACGCTGTCGCATCATTCTGACAATTATTACGTCCTGAAGTCTGCCAACTTTATCTAAGGATCGTCAGATGCAGTGACATGCGGGTTTCTGTAGATTTCAAGAAATTACTTGAAAATACCAAACACTCGCTGCAGCTTTTCATTTTTGTATTACCGAAGTCGCGAATGTCTGGTTAAAAATAAGTTTGTGATGTGGTTTCGAGACGCTTGCAGCTGTTCGTTCAACTTGTTACGTGCAGAATGGGTGCTTGAGAAATATCGGGCTGTTATGGCGTTTTCATCAGGTAACTTTAATGTTGGTTTGTTATACTTATGAAAATCATAAGTCATAAAGCACAGAGTTTGACGTTGATTTTTCTACTGTGAGCAAAAAATGGTTTCTATTTTAGAGCATACTTCTTCTTTTAGCTACACTGAATGCTCATTCAAAATGAAACGCTTTCCAGTATGGCATATTCATTTTTACTTTGTTGATTTATGTGACGCATAAAAGTGATTCTTTGGCCTAGTATTACTTATCAGTTGGAATTTTCCTGACATGTCATGGTTTTTAATAATTTAATGCTAGCAGTTGTATTCTGTCAGAAAATGGTATCTTATAAGCTTCCTTATATGAAGTAAATGAAGATAAAGTAAGTAATGTTTGCTTTTAAATATTTATGGAGCCACGTTTTTTGAAGAGGGCTAACACTTAGATGATTTTTCTTGTTTCTGTTTCTTCGTAATAAAAATATTCGCTTTGCTCTTTTATTATCATATTTGCTGATACTGCTTTTCTTTTGAACACCATGTGTGACACTGTAAAATCAAGTTCAATTTTTGTTCAGGAGTAACACTTTGGTTAGTTTAGTTACAGAATTGGGTTTAGAGGAGAAATGGCAGATGGTGCAACTTTTGTTTTTTTCAGGCGTATTTGTCGTCTAACTTAAGATTTAAGACTGTTTTTCTGTTTCGTAAATGCTTCCATTATCTTGAGTGAAAACTCTTCTTACCTAATGCTTTAACGCGTACTCTTACTGCCCACTTAGTATTTTCTTTTTTTTTTTTTTGAAGTTTCTGAAAGCTAATTGTTTTCATTTTTTTGTATTTCGTTTTCGACTCATTTGTAGTGGGTTTCCACAGCGGAATGTTAGCTTTAAGTACTGCAAAAAAACATTTGAAAGAAACAAGAATATTTTTACGACATCAAACAAAATTGTGATTGTACGACATTGGTATCTTTAAAGTGTGAAGAATATAAATCGAAGAAGAAAATGAAAGGAAATCAGCTTAACGTTGCAGTTTAGCACGTGGTAGTAGAGTAACACTAGCTTTGGTAGTCCGCTGGGATTTTCATTTCATGGGAGCACTCGGACAGTGGAACATCCGGTAAGGATTTTCCAAGCGTTGCCCTCCTTCTTCCAAACAGTTAAGTAACTGAAATGAATGTTTTCAAACGCTAGCGAAAACATCAAAATGTGTTTTGAGCAGTTTTTCTAGTCGTTACTTTTCTGAAGAGCTAAAGGTGGCAACGTTTTTGCGGAAACTACTTATTTGAGATGTGAGTTAGTATTTTTTCGGTTTAATCTATTATGTAGCTTTTAGTGTGCTGAGGAAAAAGACAGACCATCCATTTTTTTCTGTATCAGCGGCTTGGACCGTAAACTGTCCGCGATCGATCGCTATTTCACCAAAAATCTAGATGAGTAACTGAAGGTCGACAAGTCTGGTACTTAGAATTTTGGAGCAGTGAAGGAATTTGCTAATGGAGAGATCTGATGGTTTATTTATGGGTGAAATAAAATTCGCAAATCTTTTTTTGCGTATTGATTTATTTTTTGCAAAAACGCAGGCGGGTTTTTCTGTGCATAAGAAACTAATGATAATTATCACCTGAACATCCTCTACTTTATGAGTTATTTCCGGCTTTGCTACGTCCTTAAACCTGCCCATTTTTTTGGCTTTTTTCAGCTCTGTAAGTCAAAGGTACAACGTTAGTCAGTCAAGTTGTTTTCATCATTCGATAAAAAAAGCAAAAGGAGTTTTCCTTACGATTAGTAGGCGGTGTTATTTCTTGATAGTCTGATAAATAACTGTAAAATTCTTTATAAATCTAATACGCTAGCTACTGTGTTGTAAAATGACATTTATACAAAAGTGGGCTTTAAACTAATCGTTTTTCTGAAAATTCTTTTGGCAGGTTTGTTATATAAGTATACTAACTTTCAGGTTGACAAGCGAATTAAGTTTATTAGTGAAGGAATTTGACAGGCAAATTTAATTCGCTCTTCTAGGCACAGGGCTTTACTGTAAAGTTACGATAACTGGGCACTAACCAGCAATTGTTATTGGATCGTGCAGAGGGCTCATAAATACGGCGTTATCGCACAGATGTTTCGATATCTCCTCACCTTTGTCTGCTTTTGCAAAAGCTTGAAGGTTGTCGTGAAGTTTTTGAAATTCTTCTACAATGACATCAACGACAGTCGTTGTGTGGTTAGTTTCGACGGAATCAAGAGCAGCACTTTTCAATCATTATAAGTTATAGAATCATTAAGTGTCAATAGATGATAGGATTTTTAGAATTTAAGTTATTTGGTAGAAAATTTTACTTACCCATTTCGTCAATGGCTGTAAACCGAGTTCGATCTGAACAACTGGCTCTACTGAGCAGAACAAGTGTT